AAAAAAAAATCAAACCCCCAAAGAGGGTTTGCGTCTCCGGAAAGATGCCAGGGGCTGGCCACCGTGGCTGCAGGAACTTTTCAAAATCACAAGCAAACGCGCTTTTACAAAGTCACCCTGGAGTTTCGCTTTTCTCATCTTTCAAAGTCACTTCCCCGCAGCGGCCCTCCTCGGTGAACCCTCCTGCCGGCCCAGCGTGCACCGGGCGGGTGGCGGCCCGTTAGCGTGTGTGTACCCGCGGTCACTGTGCCCGCTCCCGCCTGGCCCAGGAGAGGCCTCTGTACATGTCTGCGGAAGAGCAGGAGGGCCCCATGCCTCTGGCTCCATCCTCCCTGCCGCTCTCACCCTGCCGGGCTCCTGCCCAGCCCTGCGCTGGCATCTCTCTGGAGGCCATCCTGGCAGGCGAGGGCGGGGCACCATTCCCGCCCGCCCCTCCCCCAGCTCCCAGGCCTCTTACCGGTGCACCTGATGCCAACAGCTGTCTCCGTCATCGAGAAGCCCACAGGGCACACCCGGGCCACCTCCTGGCAGCCACCGTGGTTACAGGCAAGGTCACAGCCGTACTCCCCGCAGGGCCCGTGGGCTTCTGAAACAGGCGGCACACAGGTGAGCACGCGCCATGCCCAGGTCCCGGCCACCCCCGCCCCGCCGGCCGGGGCTCCTCCTGCCTGAATTCTGCTGGGAAGGTGCCCCTCGAGGCAAACAGGCCTGAGTTGAAACCCAGCTCTGCCACTTACTAGCCATGGCACCCCCGCGGGAGCCACTGACTTCTGTGCCTCCATCCCTCATCCATAAAATGGCAGGAGAGTGCCTGCCTACGAGGGTTATCTGGAGACGATATGCGAGGGCACCGTGCCCAGGGCCTGGCACATAATCTCCGTGTTCACAGAGTTTTTCCCAGGAGCCATTGCCCGCCCCCAGGTACCTGGGCAGGTGGCCCCTTGCTCGCCATCCTGGCAGGAGCAGACATTGGGAGCGATGCAGATGCCACGCCCGCAGCCAAAGGAGCAGAGGGCTGGGAGGAGAAATTCAGGTGAGGGAGCAGAGGCGGGGAGGGTGCCGTCTGCCCCGGCTGAGGGAGCGGGCGCCCGCTGGGGAGGATGTCTGGGGCTCGGGGACAGGCACTTACGAAGGGTGCAGTGCCCACTGCCCATGGAGGGCGCCCAGCCTGGGCAGCAGCCACTCCCGAACCCCGAGAGGCAGACGTGGGGGCCCAGCCGGCGTCTGCAAGAGAGGAGAGAGCACATTCCATGTTCTGTTACGTCTACAGAGGAGTGAGCGGCTCAAGCAGGTCGGTCGGTCAGTCAGTCAACAAGCAGCGCTCAGGACCCGCAGGAGAGGCGATGGGAAGTTTCCAAAGAAAAAGGGCCCAGACAAAACAGCAATGCGGTACCGTCTCACCCTGTCAGAAGGGCTGTCATCAACAAATCAACAAACAAGTGCTGGCGGGGATGCGGAGAAAAGGGAACCCTCCTGTACTGCTGGTGGGAGTGCAGGCTGGTGCAGCCACTGTGGAGAACAGTTTGGAGTTTCCTCTAAAAACTAAAAATGGAACTCCCATTTGACCCAGTGATCCCACTTCCAGGACTATATCCCAAGAAACCAGAAACACCAATCTGGTTTTTGGCATTTAGGTGCTCTATAATGGCTGTTGAGGGAAAGGCTGAGAAGAGAAGCCAGCAAAATGCAGAAGGGGGAGGGCAGCTGGACACACGTCATCCCCCAGGTGGCATCTCGGGGGTGAGGGTGGGGGTGCCTAAGGGGTGAAGAAGAGCCCGCCCGCTGTGCCAGCTGCCGGATGAGGCCCCGCAGTACAGCCTCCAACAAGCCAGTTCCCCGCCGGCGGGGGCGCTGGGCAGACAAGCAGCCAGGTGGTGACCAACGCGCTGTGACACTCTGCCCACAGGCCTGGCATGGAGCTCTGAGCCGGGTCAGGGGAGCTCCTGGAGGCTGAGCTGGGGAAGAGGCGCAGGGACGGCCATGCGCGTGCAGGATGCTGGGGTCGGAGGGAGCCTGGGACACAGGCCTGGAGGGACACAGACACGCCTACAGCTGGCCTGGCCTGGCCTCACCGGGAAGCCCACGCAGCAGCACAGGACCCAGAGGCCCTCCCACCTGCGCTCCACCTGCCTGGAGGCTGATGGGCCAGAGGGCCCTGGCACAGCCGCGGGGCTGAGGACATGGTGCGCAGGACAGACTCGCCCCGCTCGGGGAGACCACCCCCGCCAACCGCCACAAGACAAGCCGTCTGAGCGGGAGCTCCGCGCAGGCGTAGAGACATGTCTGGGGAAACGGGCCGGCACCGAGTTCTCTGAAGCCTGCTGCTCTCTGAGGTCATCACAGAAAAGGGGGGCCCTGGGGAGAGGGGCCGACAGGGAGGCCGCAGCCACGCTGTTGCCCGAGAGATGACGTCAGCACCGGGAAGGCGGTGCTGCGCCCCTGCTCCTCAGTCCCGCTCCGAAAGGAAAGGGGAGCCACCCCCCCTCCCGCGGCAGAAGTTAG